CTGTGGCTCCAGCGAACCACACGGTGATGGAGGAGGTGAGGATGGACTCGATGATGGCCGTGTAGAACTGCACCAACATCTGTGCAGGCAGCTTGGCTTTCCTGAGCTGCCGCAGGAAGTACATCCTCTGCTGGGCCTTCTTGATGAGGGAGCTGATGGTCGGCTCCCACTTGAGGTCCTGGGTGATGGTGGTGCCCAGGAAACGGAAGGACTCCACAGAGGTGATGGGGGAGTCCATCACGGAGGGTGGGGGCGGGGGGACAGTGCTCTTCCTGAAGTCCACAATCATCTCCACTGTCTTCTGGGCGTTCAGCTCCAGGTTGTTACCACTGCACCAGGACACCAGCCGGTCCACCTCCCTCCTGTAGGCGGACTCATCGTTGTTGGAGATGAGTCCAATGAGGGTGGTGTCGTCCGCGAACTTGATCAGCTTCACGGAGTCGTGGCTGGAGGTGCAGTGGTTGGTGTACAGGGAGAAGAGCAGGGGAGAAAGAACACAGCCCTGTGGGGCTCCTGTATTTATAATCCGAGAGTCCGAGACATTCTTCCCCAGACGCACTCGCTGCTTCCTGTCCGTCAGGAAGTCAGTGATCCACCTGCAGGTGGAATCGGGCACGTTGAGCTGGGAGAGCTTGTCCTGGAGCAGGGATGGCAGGATTGTGTTGAAGGCAGAGCTGAAGTCCACGAACAGGACCCTGGCGTAGGTCCCCGGGGAGTCCAGGTGCTGTAGGATGTGGTGGAGGGCCAGGTTAATGGCGTCGTCTACAGATCTGTTGGCTCTGTAGGCGAACTGCAGGGGGTCCAGGAGGGGGGAGGTGAGGGACTTGAGATGGGAGAGAACCAGGCGTTCAAATGACTTCATGACGACAGACGTAAGTGCTACAGGTCTGTAGTCATTGAGTCCTGTGATCCTGGGCTTCTTCGGGACGGGGACAATGATGGAGGATTTGAAGCAGGCCGGGACATGGCAGGACTGCAGAGAGGAGTTGAAAATGTCCGTGAACACAGGAGTAAGCTCACTGGCGCAGTGTCTCAGAGTGGCCGGAGACACGTGGTCCGGGCCAGGAGCTTTGCGGGGGTGCAGCCTCAGGAAGAGTTGTTTAATCTCTTTAGCGGCTATTGTTAGGCTGGGGGCAGGGCTGATGGGTGGGTCGTTAGAGTAGTGGGGGGTGGGGGAGGGAGAGGTGTCAGGGGCAGCATCAAAGCGACTGAAAAATAAGTTCAGATCGTCAGCTAGCTTGTGGTCATCAGCACAGGGGGGGGCTTTGGGTTTGTAGTTGGTGATCTCCCGTAGGCCCCTCCAGACAGAAGCAGTATCGTTGTTACCAAACTGCTCCTGTAGTCGTTCTCTGTGCCGGGACTTGGCTGCTTTCAGTTCTTTCCTGAACTGATATTTAGCTGCTTTGTAGCCGCTGCGGTCCCCCTCCCTGAAAGCAGACTCCTTTGCTTTCCTGAGCTGCCGGAGTTTAGCAGTGAACCAGGGTTTGTCGTTGTTATAGATGACCCTGGTCCTTGTTGGAATGATGCTATCCTCACAGAAGTGGATGTATGACGTCACAGTGTCCGTATATTCATCCAAGCTGTCTGTGGCAGCTCTGAAAAGGTCCCAGTCTGTAGATTCCATGCATGCGCGCAGCTCTTCCACAGCTTCATCAGACCACACTTTGGAGCTCCTCACTGCAGGTTTCGAGAGCTTTAGTCTCTGTCTGTAAGCAGGAACCAGATGTATCATGGAGTGATCTGAGAAGCCGAGGGCTGGCTTGGGAACAGCGCGAAAAGCTCCGCGCACGGTGGTGTAACAGTGATCCAGAGTGTTCTCCTCTCTGGTCGGGCATTTGATAAACTGTCTGTATTTGGGTAATTCCTGGCTCAAGTTTCCCTTATTAAAATCCCCCAGGATAATAATCAGAGAGTCCGGGTATAAGCGTTCCATACACAGTACTTGCTCTGCGAGTGCGCGCTGAGCCTCGCGCGCGTCCGCGCATGGCGGTATGTAAACAGAGGCAAGAATGAATGAAACAATTTCCCGCGGGGAGTAATATGGTTTACAATGAATGAAAAGATATTCCAGAGCAGGAGAGCAGTGCTTGGAGATCACTGTCACATCGTTACACCAGTTTGTATTGACGTAGAAACAGAACAAAAGCCCCTGACTTGTATTGTCCATCACTGAATGACAAATATCTGTTTAAAACTTACGTACAAAGTTATGGCTTACAAATGCATATCAACAAAGCCCAATGACACCTATGTGTACGTCACTTCCGGTCTCTGCAATTTTTCCGCGAATGTCTTTTTGCATGATTATTATTGATAGAAACTGCTAAGGGTGAAACTATCTGTCAAAATGAGTTTTATTTAACACAAAAAAATACCACAATATACGAACAAAATAAGATTAGGTCCCTTTTAAATTATAATAATAACTTATTTTTCACGTCTGTCCTTCTGGTTGTACACTTTGACCAGGTTGATGGCTTCATCTGCTTCTTTTTTTTTTTTTTTTTTTTTTTTTTTATTATTATTTTTATTTATACATACATGCAAACATACAAACAAAGCTTTACAAAACACACATACTGGGGAGCAACACAAAAGGGAAGGGGGCTAGACCGATACAAATTGACCCCGAGGGCCTATGGTGGCTGTGCATAGTGGATGTGTGTAGTGTCTGGATGCGTGTAGTGTCTGGATGTGTGTAGTGCGCGTGTAGTGTGTTCAGGTGTATGTTACATGAGTCAATTTCTTAGATAAGCTTTGATGAGTGAAATAAACAAAGATATAGATAGTGACATATTTGCCATTATAGTAATAATAATGAGAGTAGTGATGACAGTAATAATATGAGTTAAGTAATTATAATTATAATATCAGAGCATAGTAATAGTAAGAATATAATAGAAAGGACATAGTATTGCAATAATGGGGAAGAGATGGCGATGTGAAGTAGTGACAGGCAGGGCACATATTGACATAAAAAAAAAAAAAGCTTCATCTGCTTCTAGCTTTATGCAAATCAGCTGGTTCAAATGTGCCACTTCAAGATGATTTCTGGATGCTGTTTTGATGTGGTTGATTAAAATAAATCCTCTTTCACAATCTGCTCTGGAAGCTTGAAATGTAGCACAAATATCCACAAGCTGTGAGATCTCCTTTAGCTCCTCATATCTAAGTGTTGCAGAAACCATATCTGAAAATGTGCTGATTGACCTCTGTTTAATTTTTTGCTTCATTATGTACTTGAATTGACTGTTAATGGCCTCAATAGACAGTCGGTGGAGGAGAATGGACTGATACTTCTTTGCCAGTGTGGCAATGTCTGCTGCAGAAAAATGAAAACCACTTCTTCAATTCATCCTCTGGAAAACGAGCATCCATGCGGTCACAGAGCTTACTAATGAAAAGAGTACAAACATCAGTAATTCTGGTCAGCTGGTCAGGTCCCCATTGCCTCTTTGACTCGGGCACCATCAGAGGTCAGCATCACCATTCTTTGCATGGTGATGCTGACCATGCAAAGAATGGTGTTACTCCATGTTTGGAGTAAAACTGAGTTATAGCCTGCACAAGATCTTCAGCAGTGCATGCTGTCAGCTGGATGATGCCACCAAACACAGTTGTAGTTATAGTTCAAATTTTTTTGCTCACTGTACTTAATATATAATACTAGCATTTTGTGTACAGATATGTCTCTGCTCTCATCCACTATCAGGGTATGCCGGGTGGCATACCCTGATAGTATGCACAGTCTCATTCAACACTATCTCATTGATCGAGTTCAAAAATTCAAAGGCCTAGTTTTTGCTTCGCCAGCTTTCTAGTATGCTCACATACTTAACTATGTGATCGTGGATTCGTTGAACTGACAGCATTGATGCATTCATTTTTCATCACTTGAAAACGAAAAAAATTGCACCCATTTTCATCGCTTGTTCTTTTTTCATGATGAGTGGAGGTGTCTCACTCGCTGCCCGTTTGTTTTGCCATGATAAGGGGTTAGCATTTACGTCTCTTGCCTCTTCTGCACACTGACTACGTCAGCGTAAGTGAACCGTATCATGTCATTGGCTGGATACCTTTTGTTACATTTAAAACAAAAATGATAATATAATTGGTCTAATTAATTAGATTCAAGTAGGTCTAATATTACATTTTAATTAGGGCCAGGACTTTTAACGCGTTAATTAAGATGAATTAATTACACAAAAATTACCACGTTAAAAAAATTGACGCATTTTAATCGTATATTTTTTTTCCCACCGCGGGGCGTTTCTCACTGGAGGAGTTTCTGTGTGTAGCCATGTTTCTGTACATGTTTACAATACTTGAAGGCTGGCGGTGCGGTACTCCCACTGGTATCGCATCAGTGCCGCTAGATCGTCAGTGGAGAGGGACATTACCGGTGATCACGGCAGGTACCGCGGGTCTGGATCTCTTTTGCCCTCGTACCTTCCATCCCGCGCGGGAGCCTCTGGGTGTTTTCCGTAGAATCTCCGCAGGAATGCTGTGTTTGTCCCCGGGAGGGACCTCCGCTCTCCGCAGCGCCAGCAGCGGCTCCCGGGTGTAAACAATGGGAGCGCGCGGGCACGTCTCCGGTTACAGGTATAATCCAAACTTTATGATGAGGAAAACGGTGTCTCACTTCCTAAGTGGGCACTAGCTTCATCCAGCGGTATTACAGTATAACAGCAGTTACAGACAAAATAAAAATAAGCACGGCAAAAAGTAAGAAAAGTGGGAAGGAGAGTGGGAGCTATGCAACTTGCAGCTGGCTCCTGCCCACGCATGCGTAATATGTATTACTTCTCACTGTTCTCTGGTCAAATATTTATATGCGATTAATTAATTACAAAGCCTCTACTTAATTAGATTGTTTTTTTAAATCGAATCCCAGTCCTAATTTTTATATATTATGTTGAATATTTTTTTTCTGCACTGCATACATTTTATTGTGCGCTCGTTATTTTGCAATAATTAATTCATGTTTTTATGTTTTGCAGTCTCCGGTCAAAAGTCTATGCAGGAGGAGTTCTGTCTGAGCCCAGAATGCATAGAAGCAGGTAAGCGCAGAACACTGACCTTGTCCCAAGTTAGGGCGTTGTTTTTAGGATGTCGTCATAGATGCGAGGCAAAACAAATCTTAACTCTCCTCCTGAAAATGATCAGTTGCAAGTGGATGACACAGAGTGGATGACACAGAGGTTAAAATTCTGGCTCGGGAGAAGAATTGGTTTGAGAGAGGGGTGAAAGAAGCCATTTTTGTGAGGAAACAAAAACCTTCTCTTAACAGAGGAGGAGGGTTAAGATTTGTTTTGCCTCGCATCTATGACCACATCCTAAAAACAACGCCCTAACTTGGGACAAGGTCAGTGACATGCTAATGAGTTAGGAGGGGTGAGATCTGCACTCCACTTGAGCATCCCAGCAGAATATAGGTCTGTGACATGCTAATGAGTTAGGGTCGTTAGCCGCAGCAGGGTCGTTAGATCTGCTCCCTTCTACATCTAACAGACCTTAGATTGTTTATGAGTTAGTATCAGGATTAGGGTGTGGCTAACCACACCCATAGGTTATAAATCTCCAACGCGCGGCCTGAGAATTAATTCCCTGAAGAAGTCAGCTGATTTGAGGACGAAACGTCGGGAAAACTTGCTAAGAAGTACAGATGAAACCTTCCTTTGCTTTTATCAAGTGTTTAATTTACCGCACCATGCTTCAGAAGAAGAAAAAGAAGAAGGTTCTTTATTCGTCCCATCCATCCATTCATTATCTTCCCCTTAATCCATCCATCCATTTTCTTCCGCTTTATCCTTTGCCGGGTCACGGGGGCAGCAGTCTAAGCAGAGACGCCCAGACTTCCCTATCCACACACACTTCCTCCAGCTCGTCCGGGGGGACCCCAAGGCGTTCCCAGGCCAGCTGGGAGACATAGTCCCTCCAGCGTGTCCTAGGTCTTCCCCGGGCCTCCTCCCGGTGGGACGTGCCCGGAACACCTCCCCAGGGAGGCGTCCAGGAGGCATCCGGAACAGATTCCCGAGCCACCTCAACTGGTTCCTCTCGATGTGGAGAAGCAGCGGCTCTACTCCGAGCTCCCCCCGTGTGACTGAGCTCCTCACCCTATCTCTAAGGGAGCGCCCAGCCACTCTGCGGAGGACCGCTTGTATCCGCAATCTCGTTCTTTCGGTCATTACTCAAAGCTCATGACCATAGGTGAGGGAGGGAACAAAGATTGACCGGTAAATCGAAAGCTTTGCCTTTCGGCTCAGCTCCCTCTTTACCACAACGGTCCGATACAGCGACCGCATCACTGCGCACGCTCCACCGATCCGCCTGTCAATCTCACGCTCCATTCTTCCCTCACTCGTGAACAAGACCCCGAGATACTTGAACTCCTCCATTTGAGGCACCTTTTTCCGGTCGAGCACCATGGCCTCGGATTTGGAGGTGCTGATTCTCATCCCTAATTAATCTAATCTAAATCCCTGAAATCTGGATTTTCAGATTCTGTCTCTGTCTTACATGTTTAATTTTGAATGCGCTGGAAACAGCAGCAAGTCCTGAGTAGCTCTGAAACAGTTTTGTTTGGTGCGTTACAATTTGTATTTTTATTGCTTTTTTCTAAGTGAGATGTTGCTGCAGCACAGTGTTCATGGTTTTGCACTTGTCCAGACCAGAGCAGAGTGGATTCATGGTCCAACACAAGCGGATCAGGGTAAAATCCCCTGAAGAAAGGCTAATCTTTTGAAAAATGCTAATGAAGCATTCATCTTTTACTTTGGACTAGAGCAGAGAAAATGGTCCAAGGCCAGCGGCTACTTTGCCTATGCTGCTGTGACCCATCCTGCTCCACCCAGAGGCTACACCACCTCTCCTGCTGTGACCTTACCTTCTGCACCCAGAGGCCATGCAACCTCTGCTAATGTCCCCTGAAAGGCTGTTGCTTATTATTAAAGTTTATTTTATATTTATTATTGCTGCCACTGGACAGCTGGATTTCTCCTACGGGGCTCAATAAAGTATCTATCCATCTATATATATAATATATATATATATATATATATATATATATATATATATATATATATATATATATATACAGTATATATATATATATATAGATATATATATATCTATATATATATAGATATATGTATATATACCTGGGATCTCACTCCCAGAGGGAACAATAGCAGACGTTGAGGACAGTTACAAGTATCTCTGTATACCACAGGCAAATGGCAACCTCGAACAGGTGACGAGGAAAGCAGCAACTGCCAAATACCTCCAGCGAGTAAGGCAGGTCCTAAGAAGCCGGCTCAATGGCAGGAATAATCTGGTGGCCAAAGGAAGAGATTCAGTCTACGGATGTTAAAACTCGAAAGCTCCTTACCATGCATGGCGGGTTCCATCCCAAATCCAGCACCCTGAGACTGTACGTAAGCCGTAAAGAAGGAGGCCGAGGACTAGTGAGTGTGAGAGCCACTGTCCAGGACAAAACATCCAAACTCCATAACTACATCATGGAGAAGGCCAAAACGGATGACGTACTCAGTGAATGTCTCAGGCAGTGGCGCGATGAGGAGGTGCTGGAGGAGAGCCCATCATGGGAGAACAAGCCCCTACACGGCATGTACCACCGGAGCATAACAGAAGTGGCTGATCTCAAGAAGTCCTACCAATGGGCAGAAAGGGCTGGCCTACAGGACAGCACAGAGGCACTCATCATGGCTGCACAGGAGCAGGCCCTGAGCACCAGAGCGAAAGAGGGCCAGATATACCACACCAGACAAGACCCAAGGTGTCGGTTGTGGAAAGAGGCACCTGAGACGATCCAACACATAACTGCAGGGTGCAAGATGCTGGCAGGGAAAGCCTACATGGAACGCCATAACCAAGTGGCTGGCATAGTGTACAGAAATATCTGTGCAGAGTATGGGTTGGAAACTCCAAGGTCTAAGTGGGAAACTCCTCCAAAGGTGGTGGAGAATGAGCGTGCGAAGATCCTGTGGGACTAGACAAAGGGCAGAGGACAGCCGTGGTGGTGGACGTGGCAATTCCAAGCGATGGTAACATCCGGAAAAAGGAACATGAAAAGCTTGAGAAATACCAAGGTCTCAGAGAGGAGCTGGAGAGGGCCTGGAAGGTAAAGGTGACAGTAGTGCCCGTGGTGATCGGTGCACTCGGGGCAGTGACCCCGAAGCTAGAGGAGTGGTTACAGCGGATCCCTGGAACAACCTCGGACATCTCGGTCCAGAAATGTGCAGTGCTAGGAACAGCAAAGATACTGCACAGAATATATATATATGTATATATATATATATATATATATATATATATATATATATATATATATATATGTATGTATATGTATATATATATATATGTATGTATATATATAATATGTATATATATGTATATATATATGTATGTATGTATATATATAATATGTATATATATGTATATAATATATATATATATATATATAATATGTATATATATATATATAATACGCTGTCATGGTTGAGGCCTCCCTCATTTTCTTTATTGGCGACTGACAAAATACTTAGAAGCCACTAAATAAACCACAGGGTTCAAAGAAGTAGAAAAAAGTTGTTTTCTTTTAGTCCAGAAATTACGGTATATTATTATTTTCTATAAATCTCTCTCTGTGTATAGCTGGATCTATTCTGAGTAAACTTGACCCCTCTGTGGACCCCTGTGAGGACTTCTACTCGTACTCCTGTGGGGGCTGGTTGAAGGAGAACCCCATCCCAGAAGACTCCTCCTCATTCGGGATCTACCCCTGGCTCCGGCAGCATGTCGACATCAAACTCAAAGGCAAGACCAAGACACAGCAGCTACACCCTCAATGAAAAATAATGCTACCTTTGGTCTCACTCAGCACGTGAGTGGCCCCACCCACAGCAGAGGGCACACTCTAGACCTGTTAGTTACAAAGGGGGTGAATATTTCAAATATAAGCGTGGTCGATGTTGCTCTTTCGGATCATTTCTGTGTATTTTTTGACATGTGTTTCACTAACAAACCACCAGTGGACTCTGCAACTGTTCGAAGAAGACACATAAATGAAAATACGAGTGAACTATTTATGGGAATGATAAACTTTGAAAATGCATCGTATTCTACTGTAGATGAACTGTTTAACTCTGTCACCTCTAGTGTTTTGAATGTTCTGGATACCGTTGCCCCTGTGAAGGTTAAAATAGTGAAAAATAAGCAGAAGGCGCCGTGGGCTAAAGCAGACTCGGTCAGAGCACTGAAGAGAAAGTGCCGGAGGGTCGAGCGGAAGTGGCGCAAGTCCAACCTCCAGGTTGATTACAAGATATTCAAAGATAAGTTGTGCGAGTTTAACCGGGTGCTACGTAGTACGAGAGAAAGGTATTTTTCTGAAATGATTGAAGGCTGCAGTAACAATCTGCGTGTTCTGTTTTCAACAGTTAATAGATTAACAAACCCCCCTGTTCAGATGCCATTAGAGCTAACTTCCAAACGTAAATGCAATGAGTTTGCACACTTTTTCAATGACAAGGTTCAAGGCATCAAAAACGCCACTGTCTCCAATCCACAGATAACCATCCAACAGCCAGAAAGGCTCTCTGAGCTAACTTACTTTGCACCTGTAGATGATAAAAATGTCCAAGAAATAATCTCCAGTTTGAGCTCCTCCACATGCAGCCTGGATGTACTACCCACTAGATTTCTGAAGTCTGTTACCTTCACTCACACAGATAGTAAACATGTCCCTTCATTCTGGAATATTCCCAAAGGCCCTGAAAACGGCAGTCATCAGGCCCCTGCTAAAAAAGAGCAGCCTGGATGCTACGGTACATAACAACTATCGTCCCATCTCAAATCTGCCATTTATGGGGAAAGTCCTTGAAAAAGTTGTCTACCTACAGCTTACTAGATTTCTTATAATTAACAACTCATTTGATATGTTTCAGTCCGGCTTTAGACCCCACCACAGCACTGAGACTACTCTTGTCAAGTTTACAAACGATATCCGGCTGAACACTGACGCAGGCAAAGTCTCAATCTTAATCTTGTTAGATCTGAGTGCTGCCTTTGACACCGTCGACCATGAGATCCTCTTACAGAGACTAGAGGACTGGGTTGGAGTCGCTGGCACCGCCCTAAGTTGGTTTAGGTCTTACCTTGAAGACAGGAAGTACTTTGTGGAGATTGGAGACTGTGTCTCAGATCATATGGCCCTGACCTGTGGAGTACCACAGGGCTCGATCCTGGGACCTCTTCTGTTCAATCTTTACATGTTGCCGTTAGGTCAGTTAATACGCAGAAACGAAGTGTCCTATCATAACAATGCAGACGACACTCAGATCTATGTCTCACTTACTGCAGGAGAACATGGACCAGTGGACTCACTCCTTCACTGTATCCAACAGATCAGTGAGTGGATGCAAAACAACTTCCTTCAGCTAAACGCAGACAAAACTGAAATGATTGTCTTTGGTCCCCAGAAACAAAGAGAGAGCGTCATCTGTCACCTACAGTCTCTCTCCCTAAAACCTTCAAACAAGGTCAGAAATCTAGGGGTAATACTGGACTCAGACTTAAATTTTAATAGCCACATCAAATCAGTAACATCAGCAGCTTTTTACCATCTAAAAAACATTGCCAGGATCAAAAACATAGTGTCTAAAGCAGACTTGGAGATTCTTATCCATGCATTTGTCTCCAGTAGGTTAGACTACTGCAATGGCCTGCTCACAGGTCTGTCCAAACAGGCTGTAAAACAGCTGCAGTACATTCAAAATGCAGCAGCTCGAGTCCTGACTAGAACCAGGAAGTACGACCACATTAGTCCGGTCCTCAGGTCCCTGCACTGGCTTCCTGTGGCTCAGAGAATAGACTTTAAAACAGCTCTGCTTGTGTACAAATCTCTCCATGGCCTCGCACCAAACTATATTAGTGACATGTTAGTCCCATATGAACCAGCCCGGACTCTGAGGAGCACAGGGACTGGACTCCTGTTAGTGCCCAGAGTCAGAACTAAACATGGGGAGGCTGCTTTTCAGATTCATGCTGCTAAAATCTGGAACAGTCTTCCTGAAGATGTGAGACAGGCCTCCTCTCTGACAATGTTTAAAACCAGGTTAAAGACGGTTCTGTTTAGCTGTGCATACAACTGAGGGATTTTATATTTTTATCTTTTTTTTTTTAATGTACTGTGATTATTTATGATTTTAATGCTTTCTTGTTCTGTTCAGCACTTTGAATTGCCTTGTGTATGAATTGTGCTATACAAATAAACTTGCCTTGCCTTGCCTATTGGTTATGGGAAAAGTTTCACCGCAGGGCATAACTAGGTATTAGGACTGTGTGAGTTTGACATGTACCGCAAGTAATGATAAGGGACTGAACAAAACACAATTCCCACCAGACAAGGTATGAGATTAGATACAAACAAATGTGTATTTTATATTTGTGCAGTTCAATTCATAATCATACTTTTTCAGTCATTGCAACCTTGTTTTTTTTTTAGGAATTATGGTTTCTCAAAAGATGTAACTGCTCTGCACTGATCCCTTTTGTAGTCATAGGGTTGGATTTATAAAGTGCTTGATCTCCAAATGCATTATTCATTCATATTACACTTATTTGTTTAAAGTAAAGCAATAATATATTTATATATTGTTATTTTGTTTTCTAGAGTTGCTGGAAGCTCCGTCAAATTCAGATGAACTTGATGCTGTAAGAAAGGCGAGAATTCTTTATCGTTCCTGTCTGAATGAAAGTGAGTCCAACATGAGTGTGTCACATTACTATAACATAGACATATATTAGCTTACTTGAAACCCATCCATCCATCCATTTTCTTCAACTTCATCTGTTGCCGGGTCGCAGGGGCAGCAGTCTAAGCAGAGAAGCCCAGACTTTCGTATCCACACACTTCCTCCAGCTTATCGGGGGGATCCCAAGGCGTTCCCAGGGCCAGCTGGGAGACATAGTCCCTCCAGCTGGGAGACCTTATTTTGACCGCTTTTATCAGCAATCTCATACTTTCGGCTCAGTTCCCTCTTTACCATAACGGTCTGATACAACAACCACATCACTGGATGGCACGGTGGCTGAGTGGATAGCACTCTCATTTCTCAGCAAGAAGGTCCTGGGTTCGAATCCCGGTGGAACAGGGCTTTTCTGAGTGGAGTTTGCATGTTCTCCCTCCTGCGTAGGTTTCCACCAGGTGCTCCGGTTTCCCCTACCACTAAAAACATGCACAATAGGTATGAATGTAAAAGAGAGAGTGAATGGATGATGGTGCTGATTGGGGGCTGAGGTGCCAGTGTGTTCGGCGACTCGCTTCCGTCATCACCTTGTGTGGAATGATTGGAACAATATCTGAACTCTGAACATTGTTAAAGCGCTTTGGGTGACATCGGTCTGGAAAATGCGCTATATGAATAAACATTACTTATTACTACTACTCACTTACTGTGCATGCTGCACCAATCTGCCTATGAATCTCACACTCCATCCCTACCTCAGTCGTGAACATGACCCTGAGATATTTGAACTCAACTTGAGGAAGGACCTATCCACCCACTTGGATAAAGCATGCATGTTGCAGGTCCTGGTTCGTTGGACCCAACAGGACAACATCGTCTGCAAACAGCAGAGATGAAATTCTGCAGTCTTCGAACCGGACCCCTCTGGCCCCTGGCTGCGCCTAAAAATTCTGTCTTTTTGGACAGAACCGGTGACAAGGGGCAGCCTTGACGTAGGCCAACATGCACCGGGAACAGCTCTGATTTACTGCCGGCGATGCGAATGCAGCTCTCTGGCTCCCGTCATACAAGGACCGAACCCCCCAAATCCACAGGTTGGGCAAACTCCCATGGACCCTCAAGTATCTGATGAAGAGTATAGAGCTTGTCCAATGTTCCGCGGCCGGGATGAAAACCACACTGCTCCTCCTGAATCTGAGATTAATCTCTGAGATTAAGTCTCCTCTCCGCTTTTTGGCCCGTAGGCTGTTACAACAGTGAAAGACTTGTCTACCACCTGGAGGCGGAGGGACGGAACCCTCTCATTTACTGGGGAGAACACCAACACGTGGCAGTTGATATGGGGGGCAATATGTATGGCTACCTCCACTCGCTGCAAGAAACACCAGAAAAGTGGAGTGTCCAACCCCTCTCAATGAGTTGGGCTCCAGAGCCCAAGCTGTGTGTGGAGGTGAGGCCGACTATCTTTTGACGGTGTCTCTCAACCTTCCCCACAAGCTTAGGCTCTTCCCCCCCAGTGAGGTGACGTTCCACGTCCCAAGAGCCAGGTGTTGTGTGTGCAGACGGGTTTTGCCGAGGTCTCTACCTTCGACTGTCGATCAGTCCACTCTGCACCGACCCGCCACGGATCCCTCTGTGGGTGTTTGGTCCACAGGAGGGCCTGCCCACATCTTCCCTTCGGGTTGAGCTCCGTGGGCTAAGGCCCGGCCACTCGCTTGCGAGCCCCAACCCCAGGCCTGGCTCCATGGTGGGAACCCGGCTTTGCCATGCTGGGCGATGCCATGGTTATTCTCGTCTTGCTATCCATTGCGGGTTTTGTACTGCGCTTGATACAAAGATCAATTTGTTTTATTTAACAAAACTATTGCCTAAAGATTCTCACTTTAAAGGTTAGGTGTTATGTTTACTGCCATCTAGCATTGAGATTTTATATTGCAGTCCAGGGTACTACGGAAGCCTTCAATACATACTATGTCGTCATTGACAGTGCTTCTCAACTCTCAGTCATTCACCAGATAAATTATCGGATTAGTTTGATAAATTATTGGATTTCTCCATACATCTCATCTCGGTCACTTGATACAGTCGCGTGGAGGCGACATGTAAACAAGACATGTTTCTGTCTGTTCTGAAGTATTTCTGATGCAGCACCCGCATGGTAATGACTTTTACCATGGATCTATTCTAAAAGAGGTAGACTTCGCACATCTCTTCTGTGACAGGAGTAGGAGTGGGCGCGCAAAAGCTGGCCAAACGTGAAAAAATAAGATGACACCCGCACACTGTCTAACTTGCAAAAACACCAGTGATTTATTCAAATAGCAACGTTTCGGCCACAGGTCTTCCTCTGGAAAAATTTGCCTAAATCATTTGAATAAATCACTGGTGTTTTTGCAAGTTAGACAGTGTGCGGGTGTCATCTTATTTTTTCACCATGGATCTATTAAAATGCATTGTTTGTAAAGACAATAGAGGATTGGAGGATTGACGTCTGCGGGAGCTTAAATTCACGATGATCCCACGTTCTTCTTTTTTTGGGTGTGGCCATTTTTGTCCTTTGGGCTTTTGTAAAAGACCACATCTGAAAAGCGCTCGCTGAACATGTCTGGTTTCTCTGTCTTTTCCCTCTGAGCATGTGGGGACCTTGAAGCCCAAGTGCTGGTCAGTGTGAGTGGACTTTCTAAAGACCTCTGTCTGTAATTGCCGTTCTCCAGTATGATGACCTTACAGTCTAGAAAGGCAAGTTTACTCTCTTTAGCATCCTCAAGTGTGAATTTTATGAAAGGGTCTAAAGAGTTATTGGTTCCACTTCCTGTTTTTTTTTTTTTTTTAAATCTTAACCCATGTATCGTCTACATATCGAAACCAATGGCTTGGCGCTGCCCCTTTGTAAGAGGCCAGGGCTTGTTTCTCCAGTTTCTCCGTATACGTATAGATTGGCCACAATAGGAGAAACTGGGGAGCCCATCGCACAGCAATGAATCTGTCTAAAAAGGTGCCTCTGAATTTGAATTGAACAACAATATGTGATGTTGAGACACATTTCAAGAATTTCACAGATGTGTTCAGGTGTTGGTTTTGTTCTGTCCCATAGTTTGGTGTCTTTCAGGTTTTCTCTTACAGCCATCTCTGCCTGGTAGGGACAGACATGAAAAGGGATGTCACATCATACGAAACCATTGTCTTATCTGTGAGTTTTATCTTATTCACAATTTTTTTTGTGTTCTCTATATGGTGGTGGGTGTTGCCAACTAAAGTTGCCAGAATGGTTTTGAGGTGTTAAGCCAAATTGTAGGTGATTGAGTCTATGCTATAGACAATGGGCCAAAGCGGAATGTTTTGTTTGTATGTCGGAGCCCATAAATGCTGGGAATGGCGTCTCCTGCAAAAAGTTTGTTATACAGTGGTTTTTTCAATAACGCCCTCTTTTAATAAACTCTGCAAGTAGTTTCTGAAACCCGCTCGTAGGGTCTCTCTTCAATTGTTTTTTACGTGTTAGTGTCCATAAGTAAATGGTTAACTTTTGCCTCATAGTCTGAGGTGTTGAGGATAACTGTGCATCTGAGACTCTCAGCTTCAGTGACCCAGCCTCACTCTCAGTTAGTTTGTTGTTTCTAATGGCTGCTTCTGCTGCTGTGATGTGTTCAATTGTAGGAATATCTTTTGGGGTTACCGCAAAATTTGGTTTTTGCCTTTGGTAAAAACATATTTTTCCATGGAGGGCCACGGTTATGTAAAAGAACTACCCGAACAACAGTCTTTTAGAAAAATAATTATGCAAAAGTCCGACGTCAAAACGTGTATTTTGTACACAGCAGACTCACACGTAAACAATACATAGTCCTCTTCACACCGTCGGTAACGTTCTTCACACCAACAGTAATGAGAACAAGGCAGAATCTGCAACACGGGTCTCAGGATTATCTAACCCGCTCTGACTACTATATCCACAAGTTTCAACTAAACTTATTCAGGGACAAGCCTCAAATATGCAAAACATACACAATGCCCACAAAACAATCGCCAGAATACTTTATCAGCAGCGTAAGTGTATGTTCTGTTTTCTTACCTGGTGATGCAGATGCAGCACCGTGGCTAACGCTAATAATAATATGAGGTTTTAGCCATGTTCTGCCACGGCTGTGTATATGTCCTGGCCTCTCTGATCATTGTGAATTTAAGCTCCCGCAGACGTCAATCCTCCAATCCTCTATTGTCTTTACAAACAATGCATTTTAATAGATCCATGGTGAAAAAATAAGATGACACCCGCACACTTGTCTAACTTGCAAAAACACCAGTGATTTATTCAAATGATTTAGGCAAATTTTTCCTGAGGAAGCCCTGTGGCCGAAACGTTGCTATTTGAATAAATCACTGGTGTTTTTGCAAGTTAGACAGTGTGTGGGTGTCATGTTATTTTTTTCACGTTTGGCCAGCTTTTGCACGCCCACTCCTACGCACCTGTCACAGAAGAGATGTGCGAAGTCTACCTCTTTTAGAATAGATCCATGGTAAAAGTCATTACCATGCGGGTGCCGCATCAGAACTTGTTTACATGTCGCCTCCACGCGACTGTATGTATGAGATGCGAGATGAGATGTATGGGGAAATCCAATAATTTATCAAACTAATCCGATAATTTATCTGGTGAATGACTGAGTTGAGGAGCACTGTCAATGACGACATAATATGTATTGAAGGCTTCCGTAGTAGCCTGGACTGCAATATAAAATCTCAATGCTAGATGGCAGTAAACATAACACCTAACCTTTAAATTGAGAATCTTCAGGCAATAGTTTTGTTGTAGTTTTCTTGCCATTTGGCCTGTTTCTAAGGCTTTCTGCTTTAAACATTTTGGGATAAGTTTACTCTAGCTGCATCTAACATGAATTTCTAGGGTCTGCTAATTTTCTCTTGATTTTCTCCAACCTGCGTGCCAAGAGTAGGGCATCTCTCCTATGGATAAGATTGTAGTCGTACTGGGATTATTCAAAACAAAGGACAATTTATAACCTGTGGGTGTGACTAACCTCACTAACCCTGATCCTGAGCCTAACTCATTAACACATCTAGTCTGCTAACACAAGTCTGCTAACACAAGTCTGCTAAGATATGGTAAGGGGCAGGTCTAACAACCCGGCTAGGGCTACCAATCATTCTGGTGATACGTGACATCAGGCCGTTGTACGTGCTCATCAAACAAGATGAAGGTGTTTTTGTTCAATGTTCTATTCAATGACATGCGTTTCCACTTTCCAAAAACTAGGGATGGCCGATTCGATTTGTCCCAATATTTGATCACTGTTTCGATACAGTAACGATACGCTGAGGCCCCCTGCCAATACGATACAGTACACCCGTGTCAGTGATACGATGCAATTACCCATCTCAGCAATACGATACAATTAACTTCTATTCTTGATACGATGCGATCCAAAACGATTGGGCTGGTGACCCCTGCTAGTCGAGTCGAATGGGCCCGTGGAAACGGGCCTTATGCTGCCACTACTAACTGAGTGAGAGAAAACTTTCTACTCTGCTCGCCCCGCCCCGCGAATACAACAGAGCCAGGGCCAATCAGATCTCAGCATAGACCAGGGGTGCCCAAACCTTTTGCTTCCAAGGGCCAAAGAAAAAATTTGCCAGCGGTCCGCGGGCCAAAAACACCAATGTTACACGTGGAACACAAATCAATGTAAATTTGATCAAGTTCCTTTTATTACTGTTGAATAATTAAATGCATTAATTATTGTCTATCAGTGCCAATCACAGCTGAATGAATGAACACAACACACTCTCAGTGAAGTGGAGGCTCAAGGGAAATATGCTGGTTTGAGGAGAGTACGGGAAGATTCCGGTCAGAGAATAAAAGGTACAGAGGAGGGAGATTTTCTGTTGTGGCTTTTTTACAGGTTAAAATCATGTGTGTGTGTGTGTTCTGCAATAACAGACAAATATACAATGAGATGTAGCGGCAGATTGTCAAATGTACAATAGACGTAACTAATTATAAACTAGCAATAGAATTAACTTTGAACTATAAATTAGCAGCAAAACCAAACATTTGACATTACAATACTACTTGAATTAGGTACATCACATCACAAATGATAAATTGTGACATTAGAAAACACGAGTAAAGTCTGTAAAGTACATAGACATATGGCTAAAGCTGCACATATCAACAAATCATACATGGTACTTACTTCCTGGTCATTAACTCACACTGACGCACGGGGAACAATGTGGAGGCATGCGGCTGCGTGTTGCTCTGGCAATAGCTACGTGGTCAAAAGCCGAAGTACTTCAACATGCAAAACAGAAACCTAACACTAGGGGCGCACTTCTCCGCTTGGCTTTCCTATACTTTCCTACAATCGCAAAAGGCTCATGGGGGATTCTCTCAACTTGATAAAACATAAAATTGCTCAAAAAAATAAATAATATTAGCTTGAAAAAAAAGCAACATAAAGGTGCCTTGCACCCAATTGTTTTGATAAGTGTGTTTGATTTAAAAACATTTCAGTGCAATTTGATGTGAACCATGAGTGAGGAATGTATCTGGATGCATCAGTATAGCACTGGACTGCACAACTACAAAGGGCCTGGCGCGCCCAAGCAATTCCAGACATGTACGTGTGTAGTGTCTCTGAGGGCGACAGACAGAAACTTGCACCACGGGTTAATGACGTTCGGCGGGCAAACTGAAACGGTACGGCGGGCCAACTTTGGTCCGCGGGCCCGACTTTGGGCACCCCTGGCATAGACCCTCAGTGAAAAATAGATAACCGGGATAAAACATGTTGCACCTGCTAAGTGGACTTAGCAGGTGCAACATGTTTCCTCCTTCCTCCTTCCTCCTCCGTCGAGCAAAGACGTGTCTTAGTCCGCTCCTGCTTCTGAACGGCTTGCTATCTCCTGTTTTTGTCTTTTTTCCTGGAGCTTTGCCACAGACAACTTTAACAGAATGGAAATGATTAATTGGTCCCTCAACGCAATTGATTCTATCTTTTCAACACGTAAGCGTGGGTCTGGAGAGCCCGTGTGTCCGGACGGGACTTCACCAGCGGGGTATACGCTTGACAGCTGGAACAAGTGGCAGCCCCTCTGTCTGTCGACCCTGTCCATTGAAGATTCGGAAGACGTATATATCTTTGGCTTTTTGGTGGTGGGGATCCTCCTGTTTGGGTTTGGAGCGATCCTCTTCTACCACAAATTCGGAGGCATGGCAGTTCGCAAGATTCACGACCTGCTGGCCGATAAAATTGATGGGATGTACAAGGAGCTTAGCCGTGTCGTGGTTGAGAGTGCCGTGTCTGGACAAAGAAGGGTGGTTTTGGTGGAACAGTTGATCAAAGACCTCGCAGCTCGTTCACTTGATGGACATAAGACTTTGGAATTGAGATTGAATGACATTGTTTGTCAGGCTTGATCTCTCTGACCCGGCTTGGATTTGCCCCTGTGTACGGAGGTCTGAGGGCACCGGAATTCGGTTTAATTGGAATTAATAGAATATCTGCCTGCTTTTGACTGCGACATTGCAGGCGATGTGTTTTTCTCCTCCTGTGGCTTCTCTCCACTCTTATCTCACATTCCTCAGCCAAGGCCATAAACAAGGTCCCACAATCTACAACAACTCACACTATTTCAGTCTTCAGCAAGGATCCCCCACCCCCGCCTCCCTCTACCTATCCATCTTGCTCCCTCCCTCCCCTCCATTCCTTATTGTTTTCCTACTCACCCCCTCCCTGATCCCGCCCCCCTCTGACAGCTACATTGGGCCGGCCGAAGAGGTGCTCTTCCCGAGAAAAAAATCCGTGGTTTATAAAAAGCACAATGTGTCTATCCAATTGTCTGTGAACTGTATGTTATTGCTCTCTGCTGTTTCTTGCTGCACACAGCGCCGCAAATGGCGAAGTGGCACGCTCTCTGCCAAAACAATTTCCAAGTGATAACTTTGTTACTCACGTGGCAATAAAAATGATTCTGATTCTGATTCTGATTCTGATGTTTTATCCCGGTCACATTAGAGACCTAAGACCGATCCAACGCAAAAATCAAACCGACAGAGAGACAAGAGCCAATGACTCCCAAATCTGCCCCTTTTGTTTATCAATGCATGCTGTAATGTGCCGGTGCAGTCACATCGCAAGTGCTTGACTTGAACCACCACTTTAAATCTGCGAATCTCACCATCCCTACTCAAAACCTATAATGAAGCATTTCTTTAGTCAACTTCAGCACGCCATCAGAAAATAAGTGAATCTATTCAGAATTTCTCATGGAATCCTGTCTTCTTACGTCTTTCCCCATAGCTGTCCTGGAGCAGCTGGACTCCGGGCCGATGCTGCAGACTCTGAAACAGCCTGAGTTCCGGTGGCCCGTGGTGGGAGAGGGTCTGGGGGGGGTATATGAGTGGTCCCAGAGCGAGTGGAGTCTTATCAAGACTTTGGCCCAAATGAGAAACCAGCACAGCAAGAGCGTCCTCATCCGCCTCTATGTTTCTCCTGACGACAAGAACTCACTGCATTACATCATCAAGGTAAGAAGGTGGGTTTTTGCAGCTTGTAATGGCTACCCTTGCTGAAAATTCCAGTAGAATATCATGGGAATCTGGACCATAGGTCCCATTAGGATAGCATCATTGTAGACCATTAGGATAGCACTATTAGAAACCATTAGGACAGCACCATGAGGTCCCATTAGGCCTATTGTCAAAATAAAATACCATTACAGAGCTGCCAGGTCTGAAAACTGGTCTGTACTTGAAAACTCCTCTAGTAGTAGTTTATTAAATCCTAAAACTGGGAAACAGAGATATGTAAATACAATACATGGCCTATGCTCATCTGAGGACGCGTTTTTGACGTCTCTGCTCTGTTTACCCTTTTAAGCCTTTTAAAGCCTTTTAAACACGTTTTTACGGTGTATTAGTGTCTTTTGTACACTCTAGTATTTTATTATCTTAAATGCAATGGTTCCAGAGCATCACGTCTTTTAACACAAAGACCCAATCGAAACGCGCTAGCTCGGAGGCTACCACGAGCGCACCACAGACATGGAAAGTGACACTGCAATGTCAGCTGCAAGAGCTGCAGGATAAACAGTCACTCGTGTCCAAACTTTTTGATGTCGCTGGCGGGCAGCACTCACGGCTTATGTCACTGAGCGCTGCATACTGTGACACTGTCGTGTGGGAGAAATCTGTCAGCTCTGGGCCCTCTTGTTCTACACCTAAGTGCCCGGTTCGGAATAAAGAGCCTGCGGACTGTGAGGAGCCATCCAGCGCCGTGGCCCATGTCCTAAGCCTGTCAAACCGCTATGCAGCCCTCTCCGCTGACATTCCAGCCCCCTCAGCAGAACCCCTGGATTCTGCAGCAAACTCTACTGCTGTCCGTGGATCCAGGTCCACTGCGAGAAAGACACTCTTAAAGGAAGCTGTCCTCAGACGAAAGAGTGGTCATTCCCCTTCTCTGACCCCAGTGCATCACCACCGCTTACCTTCACCGGGTCAGCAGCAGCGACCCGAGCCTGCTCCTCACGCCGCTCCAGCGTCCCCGAGCACACAGCGTGGGTTGCCCGGAGCTGAGAATCAACACCCCCACTCCTCTCCATGTGTTCAGCAGCGCCCTGGTTCGGACTCATCCCTGGATGAGCCCGCTGGTTCTGGCCATGGACACCGAGCGCTCTCTCCGCGGCTACGTCCACTCTTCGCCCCGACTACTTTGATTGTTGGAGATTCCATCGTGAGACACGTCCGCTTTTTTAACGCGGTCACTCAGTGTTTTCCCGGAGCCACTGTACCAGACCTGCTCATCCGTCTCCCTCCTCTGCTTCAGTCCCTGCCTGATACCATTTCAAAGGTAATCGTGCATGTGGGGATCAACGACATGAAGCTGCAGCAGTCCGAGGTCACAAAGAAGCATTTTATGGATCTATTCCGCCTCCTCCAGTCCTCCGGGTTGTGTGTTTTTATCTCTGGTCCAGTCCCGACTGTAAACCGGGGTGACTGCCTCTACAGTCGCGTTGTGGTGCTGAATATGTGGCTCCAGTCTGCATGCAGCACTTTTAACTTTGTTTTTGTGAACAACTTTGGCCTGTTCTGGAAGCGTCACGTGGCCTATCGTCCAGATGGTCTGCACCCGAACAGATACGGTACCAGTTTATTGATGGACTTTTTACGCCATGTTGTTCAGTGCTCCCCGAGGGGGGCGTGACTGTTTACATCCGAGGCCTCTCGGCCCCCACTACCACCTTCCTCCTCCACTCCAGCACCGGGTGAGTACTGTGGTGTAAACACTGACCCCTGTCCGTCTGGCAGTGTAACGACAGTCCTGCCACTGAACGGTGCTTACTCAGTCATGCATCTGGAACTTAACAAAGTAAAACAGAGTTCACTTTTTAAACCAATAGAGACTGTGTGTGTTCCTCGCACCGGCTCAGAAATGTGTTTTAATTTGAATAAACACAAATATAACAGAAGGACAGCAGTTAGACGGTCCAACTCAGGAAATCTAATTCCAATTCTTTGTAGTCAATCAACTAAACCCACTGACACTGATATTATTTTTAACCTTGCTCTGCTTAATGTCAGATCACTATGCAATAAATCCTTTTTAATTAATAATTTTATCTGTTCTTATGATCTTGACTTTATGTTTATGACTGAAACTTGGCTTGACCATAATACAGAAAATGCAGTTTTAATAGAAACAACACCACCAAATTTCAAATTTGAATCAGAAATTCGAGAAAATAAAAGAGGAGGAGGCACAGCAGCAGTTTTTAAAGATTGTATTGTCTCCCATAGAGTACCTCTTGGGAAATTTTCCTCATTTGAGTATGTCTCTTTTAAAATAGAACAAAAACAATCTTCTATTCTTATTATTGTTGTGTACAAGCCGCCACAGTCATGTCATAGTTTCACTGATCATTTCACCGAGTTGCTTTCAGTTGTGTGCACAGACTTTGATAGTTTAGTCGTCATAGGTGATTTTAATATACATGTAGATAACGTTAATGATAGATACGCGAAAGAGCTGAGCTCTGTGCTGGAAACCTTTGGTCTCACTCAGCATGTGAGTGGCCCCACCCATAGCAGAGGACACACTCTCGATCTGCTAATTACTAAAGGGGTTAATATCTCAAATGTAAATGTGGCCAATGTTGCTCTGTCAGATCATTTCTGTGTATTTTTTGATATGTGTCTCAATAGTAAAGCACGAGCTGAATCCTCAATTGTTAGAAGAAGAAGACACATAAACAAAAATACAGGTGAACTTTTCATGGGGATGATAAACTTTGATAACACGTTGTGTTCTACTGTGGATGAATTACTTAACTCTGTCACCTCTAGTGTTTTGGATGTTCTGGACACGATTGCTCCTGTAAAGGTCAAAATTGTTACAAATAAGCAAAAGGCGCCATGGACAAAAGCAGACTCTGTCAGGGCACAGAAGAGAGAGTGCCGGAGAGCCGAGCGGAAGTGGCGAAAGTCAAATCTCCAAGTTGACCATGAGATCTTCAAAGATGCATTGTGCAAGTTCAACAGTGTGCTACGTAGAACGAGGGAAACTTATTTTTCCGAAACAATCGAAGGTTGCAGTAACAATCTACGCGTTCTGTTCTCAACAGTAAATAATTTGACAAATCCCCCTGTTAAGATGCCATCAGAGCTTACCTCCAAAACCAAATGTAATGAGTTTGCAGAGTTTTTTAATGACAAAGTCCAAGGCATCAAAAATGCCATCACCTCCACAGTAGAAATTACAATCCAACAGCCAGTGAAGCTTTTTGGGCTGACACACTTTACACCAGTACAAAATGAAACTGTCCAAATGATAATTACAAGTCTGAGTTCTTCTACATGTAGCCTGGATGTATTACCTCCTAGATTTCTTAAATCTGTTCTGAGCAGTCTTTTACCTTCACTCACGCATATAGTAAATATGTCTCTTGAATCTGGAACATTCCCAATGGCCCTGAAAACGGCAGTCATCAGACCCCTCCTAAAAAAGAGGAGTCTGGATGCCTTGGCACTTAAAAGTTATCGGCCCATTTCAAATCTGCCTTTCATGGGTAAAATTCTAGAAAAAGTTGTCTATCAACAACTTACAGAATTTTTAATAATCAATCACTCTTTTGATATGTTCCAGTCTGGTTTTAGACCCCACCACAGCACAGAGACCGCTCTAGTGAAGGTAACAAATGACATCAGACTAACACTGACGCAGGAAAAGTCTCAGTTCTTATCCTGTTAGATTTAAGTGCTGCTTTCGACACTGTCGATCATGGTATCCTCATTCAGAGACTTGAGGACTGGGTTGGTGTTTCTGGAACAGCCCTAAGCTGGTTTATATCCTACCTACAGGACAGAAAGTATTTTGTGGAGATCGGAAACTGTATCTCAGACCATCTGGCCCTAACCTGCGGAGTGCCACAGGGCTCAATCCTGGGGCCTCTCCTGTTTAATATTTACATGCTGCCTCTGGGTAGGTTAATACACAGTAATAACGTAACCTGGCAAGAGCCAGATTGATGATTGTGTAGAACTCTAACGCGTTCTCCACGATATCAATCTGGGATTTCTCCCGGAGAATCCTTTCGGGGAAAGGAGGGATAAGCAGCAGAATACTTCAAGCTGATTGGGCGAAGTGACGCTGTGTGCCCGCCTACCAAGGTTGCCGTCCAGAAATGCACAAAGCGCCTCTCGCTGTTCATCTTTCAGAAAAGAAATTGGAGATTCTGCTAAAACTGACTTGATAGCCTCAGCTACGCGTCCGTCCTCCTGCGTAGCCATGTTTGTTTTGCTTCGGCCCGGCACTTCTTGCTTTCGTCAAACCCGGATATCCCGCCCTAAACCCCCAGACTGGCGCGTGATTGGCTCGCACACCCAGTGGTTCGACTCGAAAAGTGTAAGCGGGAGCGGTACAAGATGTATTCTCGAGTGTTTGTGAACTCACAAATACCGCGAGAATTCAGCTTGCAGGCAAGGTTAGTAATAACGTGTCCTATCACAATTATGCTGACGATACTCAGGTCTATGTGTCCCTGACAGCAGGAGAACATGGACCAGTGGACTCGCTCCTTCACTGTATCCAACAAATCAGTGATTGGATGCAAAATAACTTTCTCCAGCTAAACACAGAAAAAACTGAAATTATTGTTTTTGGACCTCAAAAACAAAGAGAGAGCGTTATCTGCCACCTCCAGTCTCTCTCCCTAAAACCCTCAACTCAGGTCAGAAATCTAGGAGTAATAATGGACTCAGACTTAAATTTCAATAGCCACATATCATCTGTGACATCATCAGCTTACTTCCACCTAAGAAACATTGCTAAAATTAAAAACATTGTGTCTAAAGCAGACTTGGAGATTCTTATCCACGCATTTGTCTCCAGTCGATTGGACTACTGCAATGGCTTGTTCACAGGTCTCTCTAAACAAGCGGTAAAACAGCTGCAGTATATCCAAAATGCTGCAGCTCGAGTCCTGACTAGAACCAGGAAGTACGACCACATTAGTCCGGTCCTCAGGTCTCTG